GACCGACAGAAAATACATCCCTTAAGGTAAGAACTTGGATAATGAGGCCATTTTTTAAATCAAGAATATATAGAGCTTTTTTGCGATGCATAATAAGGGTTTGTAGATAAATTGTTTGGTTGTCTCAGACAGAGCTTGATTGATATATCCCTTACTCAACTGCTAGCTTTGTTGCACCTGTTTGGGCGGGACAGGCTAAACCCTTATCCTTCTGATTGGTTAATGGAATCAGGTGACCATATACTCCACCCACCTTCAACCTAGCAGAGGACTGATTAGCAAAAATAATTCAAAACACCCAGGAGATAAGCTGAGCTTTTAAATCTGGCAGGTTTTTTCCTGCTTGCGCACAGACTGCCTGACTTACATGTTAGCATGTTTGGAAGCCACTGCCTACGTACACATTCTGCAGAAAAAAGCGTCACTAGCATTGAATTGGAGTCATGTTTGTATCCACCTGATGAATGTAAGTCCAATGTTCAGTCTTCTTTTTGCTCTGTTTGTCTTTCCTTGGGGGAGAATACTGTATCTGGCTCTTTAGCTTACTAGAAACTTTCTTCTCGAGCTAGCAAACTAAATGCTAGCCTTGTCTCTGTTCCATGTTGTTTCTTTGCCAGGTAGGGCATTGTCAGTTTTCCAAAGCTTGTTTGCTAAACAAATAGCTGCCAAACAGCTATATTTAATCATACAGTAAATTTCACATAAGAACAGACGATTAGTTAAAAGCATTACAAAATCACATTACAAAAAAAGATCATAGATATCATAATGGTGGTTGTTCTGTGTGTTTTCTGAAATGTGATTTAGTATTTAGCTTGGTCCAAACATTGCTGTTAAAGTTAATGTTGGCAGTTGCCTTTGGCATAATTCTGTGTTTGGCATTATCTTGACATCACTCCTGACCAGAGTGTCTGTAAGTTGTGCCTGGTTGTGTTTTATCTCAGTATTTTTCTTTGAATTGGCTACTTAATGCCGGGGATATTACTACTAAAGAACAGGGACGTGACAACATTGAATACAACTTGTAGAGTGTATCATTGTATCACTCAGCAGACCAGGGCCTTTTTTTAACAGCTTAATTAACGTTTCAAACGGTTTTGTGGTTTGATGGTAAAGACCTCTACATAACCAAAATGAGAACTGTATTAGATCTGGGCAGCCAGCGCTGAGTTAAGAGTACCCCTGTCTCGGTTCTACTAACATTGTGCAGGCCTGTTGAGCATTTTGGCTTTTGGTCTCATTATAGTTGGCTCTGTTTGTTTATAAAGGCCTGCAATCGTGGTTAACAACTAACCAGCTTACGTAATATATGTAACAGACAAAATATCAACTAGTTAGTAACAAAGATCCCATTTCAGGAAAAATAGATTTTGAAGCTCCTTGTTGCCTGTACTGAGCTTGGCCTTTTATCTTGGTAGAAGGACAAGGAAACGGTACCTTTACGCACCTGGTAGAGCTCGATCCGCTGTTCGTTCCTCTTGGAGCTTGAGTTTGGCACCCTCAGAGCTCGAAACTCCGCTCTGAAGAGGTTGGTAGAGTTCCTTTCCATGGCAGAGACGTTGAAGCGGAAAACCTTAGAGGTGATGCCTTTTGGGCAGTAAAGAAGATCGTCTGGAACAAAGAGAACAAATTATAAGGTGTGTGTGAGAGATCAGGCTTGTAAATTCTCGTCAAGGCATGTGCAATAAAAAGCAGTTGATGTCCTAAATACAGACCCCAAATGCTATATGACCTCTGGACAGCATAATCACATATTTGCGTTATGAGTAACAGCTTGAATGAAAAGTTTTCATGTAGGAGAAAAGCATAGCAGACATTTTGAGAGGCAGATTTGACAAAAACATTCACAATGGATTAGAGTGTTCCAGTAAACTGTAACAGTGAGCCAGCATGCACTAAACTAGAACCCTGAAACCTAAGCAATTCAGCCATCCTTCATTTTTTGGTTTAAATATGTAATTTCTCCTCCATACAATAATTACTTATACTTAGTGTGCCACCATATGTGCCACCAATGTGCCACCATAAAACAAAAAGTTGTATTATTAATCTGCCAGCTATTTTCTCTATTAAATTACTTTTTCATTTTGTCTATTATATATTATTATATGTCAGAAATTAGTATGCCTTTCCAAATGTACTAAAGCCTGGGATGAAATAAATTATTTTCATCAACGCCCCAAAGCCGAAACATATCAATAGCAAACATACATAGCAACATAGAGCATTTCTCAAAATTAAGGAGCTCAAATTTGAACAATTATTTGGCTATTTTTTGATCGGCTTATTTAGTAATTCACCACTAGTTATAGCTTAATTTAATAACTCTCACTGTTAAAGCCTTTCTCCATCCACAACGCACAATTGAAGAACACTTAAGTGGCTGAGTAATGTTTTTGGCAATGGTTGGTTTATTCCCTTCTTGACTTGATCAAATTGCTTCAGAAATAAGCCAGTCTTTGGTATGAAAATAATGACATGAATTCTCAATTAAAAATGTAATGTATCAAGGATGTATATACTCCTTCACACCTATGATATTGGGACTCTTTAATGGTTGGCACAAAGTTTATCAGCCCACAATGCATGCCTGCCTTATCAAAATTCCTCAGCGTTTCTCTTAAACATTTTGCCTATTTTTGGTGGAAATATAAATGTTGTAATTGAAAAAGCTATATTTTTAACTTCACGTCCCTGCGTATCAAAAACCCTGCTATCCTCTGGGCCACTGACAACTTGTTGGCCCCAAACCCCTTTCTGACCATGATGACTTCTCCACAACCCAACCTCCGTCATTGACATATGCCAGATTCTGTATGCGTGCCATGCTATAAAAGGAAATCTTTCCGATGATTGCAGTCCAGCTTCTCAATGTAGTAATTTGCCAGCCTTCCAACAGCTTTCTGCTTCATTTGCACCTGTCACGGATTTATGTTGGTCCACAGAACTGCCTCAGATCCACTACAGGTCAACAGTTTACGATTAAAAACCATCAAAAGTGAGTGTGTGTTAGCCCACAATAACAAAGGGAAAGAGACTGATGTCACTGGCTCAAAGTCAAACTTTATCCCACAGAGCTATAGACTTCAGGTCCTGTCATATACCACAAGGGACAACAAACTAAATTGTCTGTGTCTTTATAACACTTCCAGACTACTGTTTCTACCGGATCTTAAAGGAAAAGTTCAAAACGTTCTTGTGGGGTTAGAGGAGAACATTGATAGCACTAATGTCTGTAGAATAAATATAAAGCTAGAACCATCAGCCTGTTAGCATAAGCTCAGTGCAAAGAATAACCCTTGACCTAACCCTAAACCAGTGCTTCTCAAAGTGTGGTCCGCGGACCACTGGTGGTCCGTGAGCGCCCCCTAGTGGTTCGTGAGTATATTGGTAACATTTCACATTTGAAATAAATAAATACATTTAAGTTTTCCGCACTCTCGCGGGAATATCTCCGCAATGGAGCGAGCTTAAGTTTCAGATTTCGATTGCATGATATAAGCCCAGTGCAAATCAGCTTCATCCACAACAATGTTGGCCACTTAGTTTGTACCTTTTCAGAAAGGAGCGATAGTAGTTTGGTTCTAGAAGAAACGATGTGATTTTGGATGTGGGAGTTTAGGTGGTTCCGCGAGTATGGTATTTGTGATGAAAAAGTTTGAGAAACACTGCCCTAAAACCCATCAGACCATGTTAGATTATGATGCGGGAGCCAAGAATGGGAAGGAGAAAGAGTGTTGGTGTGAGAAGGAGCTGTGATCAAGATAGAATCATCGCATGTATTATCTAACATGGGTTGAGGAACAATAAAAGAGTGCCGATATGATATGTAAAGGACCAGATATTCCTTCGTCAGCATAAATAGTTGATCAATCATCTTGGACCAATAGTGTCATTATTATATTGTCACTGTGACAATAAGCTTAATAACGTAAATGAAGTAGGTATTATTGATCACAGTCAAAATTCACACATAATCAAAAACAGTCATATTAATCCACATGATATTTCCCAAGCTCAAACCATGAGAATATTGAGAACAATGATATCTGAACATAGAGAGAGAAGAGAAGGAGAGGAGAGAGAAGAAGAGAGAAGAGAGACGAGAGAGAGAGAAGAGAAGAGAGAGAGAGAAGACACCGCAAAAGAAGAGAGAGAGAGAAGAGAGAGAGAGAGAGAGAACAGAGAGGAGAGGCAAGGAGGGCACAGCAAGAGAGAGAGAGCTAAGAGGAGAGAGAGAGAGAAGAAGAGAGAGGAGAAGAGAGGATAGAGAAGAGAGCACGCAAGAGAGAGAAGAGAGAGAGAGAGAGAAGAGAGAGAAGAGAGAGGAGAGAGGAGCACCAAGAGAGAGAGAGCAGAGAAGAGAGAGAGAGAGAGAGAGAGAAGAGAGAGATGAGAGAGAGATGAGAGAGAGAGAGAGAGAGAGAGAGAGAG